AGAGGACAGAGTGGAACTGCCCCACAGGGTCTCCAAGGCTGTCAGTCTTCACAGAAGCAAAGCCCAAACCACACCCACTGCCATGGAGTCAATTCTGACTCACAGCGCCCCTAGAGGACAGAGTGGAACTGCACCACAGGGTTTCCAAGGCTGTCAATCTTCACAGAAGCAAAGCCCAAACCACACACACTACTGTGGAGTCCATTCTGACTCACAGCGGCCCTAGAGGACAGAGTGGAACTGCTCCACAGGGTCTCCAAGGCTGTCAGTCTTTATGGAAGCAGAGTGCTTCATCTTTCTCCCATGGAGCAGCTGGTAGGTTTGACCCACCAGCCTTTTGGTTAGCAGTCAAGCGCTTTAACCACTTTGCTCTTTAAGTTCCCTTTAGACTTACTTTCAGTTCACTGCATTTCAGTGGCCTCCACATAGGAGTGCTGTCAGTGATGTTGGCTCAAACTCTCGGGGCCAGCTTTGCAACCAACGTAATCTGTGGTGTATGAGTTTATGTGGAGAGTGTGGTAAGTTCTCTTTCAAATGTCAGTTTTAGTTCCATATATTTTAGTGGTCACCTGGTCTACTGTCTGCCTGTGGGACAGAAAAGATTTTAAATGAAGAATGTGTCCACTCATACTAAGTTTATGGGTCAGTCTGTGATTGCAAGACTATGCAGACATTGTCCAGATGGTCAACCATTACTCTAGAGGAAAGATGAAAGGGGATGGAGACAGGGAGTCCAGATTACTGAAAGTAAAAACTCCAGAAGGAACTGGAGAGAGGGTTAAAACATTGTGAAAAGTGTAACCAACGCCTCTGAATAATTTGTGTGGTAGTTGTCAAATGGAGACCGATTTGTGTAGGCTTTCATGGAAAACACAATAAAATATTAAAAAGAACACATAGGCATCGAATAGTTGCAACAAGGAGTAAAACTCTGTTTCCTCTTAATTGCTTACTTCAATCAAGTTACTGAGTGCCGGCTGTGTTCCAGCCCCAGGTTGGACACTGAGGATACACTGATGACCAAGAGGTGGCCCAGCCCACAAGGACCTCCCACTGTAGTGGGAAAGACGGGTCTGTGGATGGCGTGAGTGCTGCGTGGAGGGGCGTGTCAGCGCACAGGGCCGTGGAAGGCCGTGGGAAGAATAGTGGCCCTGCTGGGGCTGGAAAGACTCAGAGAGCAGAGGACCTTAGAGAGGGACTTGGCCATCCTGGGTTGTGGGGGAAGGCGGAAGGAAACAGGATGAGCAGGGCACGGACGACCTACGCGCTGGAGTACTTCGTTGCAGTGGCCACACAGAACTCACAGACGGTCTTCATGATTATGGGGTTTATGAGGGAAGTAACAGGTTACAATTCAGGAGCAGAAACAACTCAGGCTACAGTTCTTCAATCAGGTCAGCCTCCCTTCAGCCGTGCCCCAAAGCAAGTCTCTGTCTGGCCCTCAGCTCCTTGCTTCCTTAAGGATTAACAGCCTAGGAAACCCTAGGGGGCAGTTGTACTCTATCCTGAAGTGTTGCTACACTACCATAAAAATAGCCAAACTCACTGCCGTTAAGTCGGACCCTACTCATAGCGACCCCTCCTTGGGTTTCCAAGGTGGTATCACTACAGAAGTAGATTGCCCAACCTTCCTTCCGAGGAGTGGCTGCTG